AATTTTTTTTTTTTTTTTTACATTTATTCATTTTTGAGAGACACAGACAGAGCACACATGGGGGAGGGGCAGAGAGAGGGAGACACAGAATCTGAAGCAGGCTCCACTCTCAGCTGTCAGCACAGAGCCCGACGCGGGGCTCAAACTCACGAACTGTGAGATCATGACCTGAGCCGAAGTCGGAGGCTTAACCGACTGAGCCACCCAGGCGCCCCTCCCCTTTCCTTATTACAATATTATGACAGCTGGCAAAATAGGAATAAGGTCTATGTGTAGAGTAGACAAGAATTTTGTACCAAAAGACACTGTTCTGCAAATACAACCCACAAAACAGAATCCTGTGGTAGCATACTGTGGCTTTGGAAATAAAGTAACAGGAAGACAGCCCATTGATTCCAGGCCTCATGCAGCACTGGAGAGTATACAAATTTGGAAAAAAAGAAAAGAAAAGAAAAACAAACGAATGCAGGATTATCATACCCAGTTCTGGGTTCCAATCCCAGCTCAGCCATGTCTGACTGAATAACAGTGGACGGGCCACTGGACCTCTCAGATCTCATTCCCGTGAGATTTTTCTGGGGAACAAATCATGGCCTCCACTGGTAAGCTCGAGTGTATTCTATATGACTAGGACACAAATAAGTAACCTTTCGTTTAAAAATATTACTTCCATTTTCCTATCAATCAGTGTCATAAAATAATCCTAGAGGGGGTCCTGGCTGGTTCAGTCAATGGAGCATGGGACTCTTGATCTAGGGGTCAAAGCCTAGATCATGACCCTTGATCATGAGTTCAAGCCCCACATTAAGCGTGGAGTCTACAAGAAAGACAGACATAGAAAGACAGGACAAGAGAGGAAAGGAAGAAAGGAAAATATAATCCTTATTTAAAACAAAACAAAACAAAACAAAACAAAACAAAACACACCAATCTTAGATAGCCCTCTCTTAGTTTTTATACTATTTCTACTAAAAAATAACAATGAGTGATTAAAGTTAACAGGATAAATTATAAGCTGCTAAATTTCCTTCAAATTCCCATAACATCTTAGGATTCTATTAATTATTCCACAATAATTCTGATGTTTAAATTCTCTGTATTTCCTCTTTTTAGCACTTCTGGTTTGCTTTGCATGAACTTTTGGAGCCCAAATGTCTTTGCATTTTAAATACCAGGAGTACATAAAAATAGCCATTTTGAATATGCAACACCCCTGGAATATTTCTACCCATAGGCACTTAAATATAGAACCTTTTATTTAGAGCGCTCACACTATGATTTTGCCTTATTATTCTAACAGCTCTGGAGTATAGGAATAAATCATATAAAAAGTGAGTAGTTGTGGGATGATGCCGGAATGCCTCCTAGTGGACAGCACGAAGCATTTCATTTTAAAAAAGGGTCGAGCCATGTTAATACACATGTCCACTGTTTACTTGCTAATCTGTGAAGAACGAAGTGCAATTTATAATGGATATGTGTGCTATAACGTCTCTGGCTTCCTAAGCAGAGCATTGTGACCACACCACGATCAAGGCTTTCCTTGGTGCCTTGGGTCCATGTCCTTGGCCCTTCGTAGGGTTTGATCATCTGCAAGCTTCACTTAACGCCCTAGTGTGCCTTATGAAGTTGGCTCTCCATCTTCATGGAGATTTTGACCATCAAAGGTATGATGATCAATGAAGGGTTTATGTAGCAACTTTATGGCACCCTTTTAAAATGAGTGATTCTTGGGGCGCCTGGGTGGCGCAGTCGGTTGAGCGTCCGACTTCAGCCAGGTCACGATCTTGCGGTCCGGGAGTTCGAGCCCCGCGTCAGGCTCCGGGCTGATGGCTCGGAGCCTGGAGCCTGTTTCCGATTCTGTGTCTCCCTCTCTCTCTGCCCCTCCCCTGTTCATGCTCTGTCTCTCTCTGTCCCAAAAATAAATAAACGTTGAAAAAAAAAAAATAATAAATAAATAAATGAGTGATTCTTTTATTTGGCATTCTAACATCTACCATATTTTCAGCCAACTCTCTTTTTATTTAAAAAAAAATGTTATTTATTCATTTGAGAAAGTGAGAGAGTGCATGAGCTGGGGAGGGTCAGAGAGAGAGAATCCTAAGCAGGCTCCATGCTGCCAGCGCAGAGCCTGATGCAGGGCTCAAACTCACGAACTGTGAGATCATGAACCTGAGCTGAAATCAAGGGCCAGATGCTCAACCAACTGAGCCACCCAGATGCCCCAGCCATCTCTCTTTTTAAAAAACCACACACGCAATTCTTTGCAAAAAATATTGGCTCTTTCACTAAAGACAAAAATGGCTGAAGTCATGGCCAGCATGTTCTACATAATTCACATTTCTTAGTGTTTCAATTTTGTGTTTTTAGGAAGAAAATGTCTGCATTCTTTTAGGATTCACAATTATCCATTTCTTGACGCTTTTCAGAATGGAGACACTATTGGCAAGGGGCCTTTTTCACTGAAGAGACCTGAGGAAAAGTGCTCTTTAACTGCAGGAATGTTGAGAGAGCATCATGGCAGCAATGTCCATCTGTCCCCTGAAGGTCTCCCTCTGTTGCTGCTTTGATCGCAATCTACTTGCCAGGTTTCATCTCTGCCACATTGGTTACGCGGAGGTATGGTTAGATGAGTAATCCTATGAAGAGAACTGGCTCTCATTTAGGGGCTAGAACCAAATACCACATGTTGTATAAGGACAATACTGACTTTTTTTTTGAGAGAGTGTGAGCAGGGGAGGGACAGAGAGGGGGAGGACAGAGGATCTGAAGTGGGTTCTGCGCTGACAGCAGCAAGGCCCAATGCAGGGCTTGAACTCATGAACTGTGAGACCATGCCCTGAGTCGCACTTGGATGCTCAATCGCCTGAGCCACCCAGGTGCCCCAAGAATACTGGCTTTAAAAAAAAGAAGAGTGCTCTTCAGCAAATGGTGCTGGGAAAACTGGACAGCGACATGCAGAAGAATGAACCTGGACCACTTTCTTACACCATACACAAAAATAAACTCTAAATGGGTGAAAGACCTAAACGTAAGACAGGAAGCCATCAAAATCCTTGAGGAGAAAGCAGGCAAAAACCTCTTTGACCTTACCCACAGCAACTTCTTACTCAACATGGTCTCTGGAAGCAAGGGAAACAAAAGCAAAAACTAACTACTGGGACCTCATCAAAATAAAAAGCTTCTGCACAGAGAAGGAAACAATCAGCAAAACTAAAAGGCAATCAATGGAATAGGAGAAGATTTGCAAATGACAGATCAGATAAAGGGTTAGTATCCAAAATCTATAAAGAACTTGTCAAACTCAACACCCAAAAAACAAATAATCCAGTGAAGAAAAGGGCAAAAGATATGAATAGCTACTTCTCCAAAGAAGACATCCAGATGGAAAACATACACATGAAAAAATGCCCAACATAACTCATCATCAGGGAAATGCAAATTAAAACCACAATGAGATACCACCTCACACCTGTCAGAATGGCTAAAAATAAATAACTCAGGCAACAAAAGATGTTGGCAAGGATGCAGAGAGGAGGAACCCTTTTGCACTGCTGGTGGGAAGGCAAACTGGTGCAGCCACTCTGGAAAACAGTATGGAGGTTCCTCAAAAAATTAAAAATAGAACTACCCTACGACGCAGCAATTGCACTACTAGGCATTTACCCAAGGGATACAGGTGTGCTGATTCAAAGGGGCACATGCACCCTGATGTTTATAGCAGTGATATCAATAATAGCCAAAGTATGGAAAGAGCCCAAATGTCCACTGATGGATGAATGGATAAAGAAGATGTGACATACATACATACATACATACAGTGGAATACTACTCAGCGATGAAAAAGAAATGAAATCTTGCTATTTGCAACTACGTGGATAGAACTGGAGGTATTATGCTAAGTGAAATTAGTCAGAGAAAGACAAATATATGACTTTACTCACATGAGGAATTTAAGATGCAAAACAGATCAACATAAGGGAAGGGAAGCAAAACTAAAATAAAAACTGGGGGGGGGACATAAGAAACTTTTAAATACAGAGAACAAACTCAGGGTTGCTGGAGGGATTGTGGGTGGGGGGGATGGGTTAAATGGGTAAGGTATTAAGGAAGACACTTGTTGGGGATGAATCACTGGAATCTACTCCTGAAATCATTATTGTTGTATATATGCTAACTTGGATGTAAATTAAAAAATAAAAATAAATAAAAATAAAAGTGGCAGTAAATCCAAGCCAATGAAAAGCTGGACCCATGCCTCTCAGAATGGGAAAAATAAAACATAAAAACAAGAAGACCAGAGGGAAGGCCAGGGAGGGAAATCAAGGGAGAGAAAAGTTATGGTGCACACTCGATTTACAGCCCAAAGAAAAATGACTTGTTTATAGTTCATTCCCCAAAGATTGGAGGATCTACTACTCCTAATAAAGAACAAAGAAAACTAGGACAACCTAACAGGTATTTTTTCTTGGGCAGAAGTGCCCAATTCTTGATTTTGGCTCAGGTCACGATTCCAGGGTCGTGAGACCGAACCCTGCATCAGGCTTTGAGCTAGGAGCCTGCTTAAGATTCTCTCTCTCTTCCTCTGCACACCCCCCCCCCCCCAAACATAGCACTTTGTAACTTTTTAAGGCTAATATGTCAGAAATGGTATATGGGACAACAACCATGAAAGACATTATTCCACTAATCACAACAAGTTTTTCAACATGTTAAACAGTCTGGAGAGTAAACTGGGTGAAGATAGCTTATTCTGATTCTGTTCTTGGTGGGGAAGGATGAAGAGTGAATGCATGCATAGCAAAAGAAGACAGTGAACATGAAACCCACAGCAGAAGATCCCACTGTTTGGGGATGTAATTCTCTCAATGACCTCTTGGGATTCTGGTTACTATTTTAAGGTTCTCCAGTGAAATGTTTCCCAGGAAAATTAGCTCTCAAGAAAGAGCTATGAGGCATTTTTTTTTTTTTTAACGTGAACAAAGACAGAACGTACATACTGCTTTACAACTGTTGGCTATCAGACTGGCAGTCTTCTTGAAGGTCTTTTCAAGGTAGTGTGCGAATCTCTCGTTCTCATTTTCTTTTGACCCTAGCTGAAGAAACTCGCCTATAAAGAAAGAAAGGGGTAATTTGCGATACGGTTTGATTGCCTGGATAACTCTACTGAGACTGAATTAAAAAAGCAGCAGCGTCAGAATTAACCTACCACGCACCAAATCTTCAATAACTTGGGTTAAAATAGATATGACAGTTGTATTTCCGATCCGTGCCAGAGCTATAGATGCTGCAGAAAGAATTAGATCACCAGCGAGAACAGCCTAGAAAAGAAAAAAGAAAACAACTCAGAGAAAAGGATCGGAGCAGTGGAGCCAACAATGAAGCTGGCTCCTCAGAAGATAAATACAGAAAGGGAGGGAGGGTTCATCTTGGCCGTGAGTCTTCCCCTACCTCTTCCTCAGTAGGACTCTGCAATCGTCAGTTACAGATTCGGCACATAGTGGGAATGGGATCAGTTCCCAGAGGTTACCCAGTCTCTCCAATCAGAGCTGAGGAAGTGGATGCATGGCGATGGACAGGGTCAAACTCTCTCGCTTCATCCCTGGGCCCCACCAGGGTACAGTTGTCCTCAGACTGGCCGTGCTGGACACTTGCTCTTCGCTCACACCGTGCTGTTGTGTCTGTGCACCTATCATTTCTTCTACTCAGAAAGTCCTTCCCCTTCTTCACTGAGCTGACTCCTCTGCACAATTAACACAGAGGACACTTCTAGGAAGTCCACTTGGATCTGCATGAGAACAGCACCCCGTGCATACTGCAGTCTTCTCATTTTTCTTCAACTACTGATTCCCTATCTACCAACTCCTTGAGGGCACGGGCTGGGAATGATCTCAGCCAGCACTTGGCACACCCCAGCGCCTGGCATTTTTCTCAATGAAAACCAAACCAGGGAATCCTGGCTCCAAGTTCAATGCTCTTTGCACTGTATTACACTGCTCCTCATTCTTAGATAAAATTTTTTGTAGTGAACACTAGATAATCAATATTTTTTCCAATCTTCTTTAGAGTGGGAGTAGATGCCCATACTGTATTTGTAGCTTATTAAAAATTATATATAACTGAATTACAGGCTGTAATTAAACATACTCATTTTCATATTTAAAAATATGCCTACATTTTATGTTATAGTTATAAATGGTTGATCTCATAGACATTTTAATTCATAGAATTTTCAACATAACCACATTTTAAGTTTTTATTGTCTTTTCTCTGGTACCTAAAATTATGTTCAGTATGTTTACCTATTTATCATTTTATAGAACATACTGTACAAGGGATCTCAACATACACATATACATTAACAAAGTCATCATATACATTATGACATATACGTGCACATATATGTCTATCCCTCGGCCACCCGTACATCATTTGCAGCTGGAGGGCTCGGGATCTCTAGGCTTTTACATCTTTCCTCTCCTGGCCCTGGGGATCCCAGAGGCCAGAAGGTTCCAGCCTGTGAAAGTAAAGTCTCCAGACTGGGCACTGGGGAATGCTGGCTGAGGGGTTAAAGGAAAGAAGGGCTGGAACCCAGGCAGGGTACTGTGGGCTCCTGGAGCAGGTGCTGTGTGAATGGACTTTCAATGGACACACAGTACTTTTGGCTAAGAGGCGGTAAAGGGGAGGAGGCTTGCAGGCAGGCCTGTGTAAGGCAGACCAGTCACAGGCTGAAAGAGGCCCCCAACAGCAGAGATGATCACAGCGGGGACTAACTAGGCAGGGAGAAGGCCCGAATTTGTTGTTGGTAGTGGTGTTTTTTTTTAAATTTTTATGTTTATTTTTGAGAGAGAGAGACACTGAGTGCGAATGGGAGAAGGGGAGAGGGAGAGGGAGACATAGAATCTGAAGCAGGCTCCAGGCTCTGAGCTGTCAGCAGAGCCTGACGTGGGGCTCGAACTCACAAGCCGTGAGATCATGACGTGAGCCAAAGTCAGATGTATACCTACTGAACCACCCAGGTGCCCCCAGGATTTGTTCTCTTAACTAAGGCTTTAGGGACAGGCCCTGAGAACAGTTGACTCAGGGACATGTCATAAATGTACCCTTGACCTCTCCAAAATGAAACTGCACTCCCCCCATCCCTCCCCTTTTTTTTAAAAAAAATTTTTTTTTTTTCAACGTTTATTTATTTTTGGGACAGAGAGAGACAGAGCATGAACGGGGGAGGGGCAGAGAGAGAGGGAGACACAGAATCGGAAACAGGCTCCAGGCTCCGAGCCATCAGCCCAGAACCTGACGCGGGGCTCAAACTCACGGACCGCGAGATCGTGACCTGGCTGAAGTCGGACGCTTAACCGACTGCGCCACCCAGGCGCCCCAACCCCCCCCCCTTTTTAAAAACAACATTCTGATGTATGGAATTCTGCTCATAGGACACAAGACCTTTCAATTTAAAATTTGAAATAAAAGATTTATAAATGAGATCTCAGGACTCGATTACACAGCAAAGTCATGTACAAGAAAGCAAAACCAGCACGTGAAGATAACAATTAATATATATTTCTTCTTTTTCATAGGGCAATTAGAAAATAGGAGGTAACCAGGTACTACAAATATGTGAGGGGAAGAAAAATAAATGTGTGAGGGAGGGGAAGGCGAGCCAAGGGAGACCTCGTTCACACTAATGTTTTATGTGTGCTTCAAACAGGCAGGGCGGCCACGGGAGGTGCGTGTGGAGGGGGCTGCCCGCATCACACGAAAGGCCTATACATCTTCATGTTCATTTGTGCAGCTTCATTCCCATTCTTCAAACATGATTTAAACACCTTTAAGCAGAAGTCCCCATCTTATATACCCCTTCAAGAGATGCTGATAAAATACTATGGAAATATGCTTTAAAATATACATGTATGAACCAAACTCAACTATACAGCCCCTACAAAAGGTAGAATTTTCACAGTGTGTGTATATATCTTTCTACGTACCTATATTTAAAACAATATAATATTCACACACATATGTTTTAGCTTTACTTAGTCACTTGTCATGACACTCTTGTACATGGCAGTCAATAGATAAAGAATCAAACTGAATCTGGGTACTCTGAGCCCAGAAGTAAAATGTATGAATGCTCATGAAACATGCTTTTTGGATAACAACAAAAATCTCTTTGTCAATAATCAAAAGGAATTCTATGTAAAACTATGAATAACCAGAAATACTAAGTTCAGCTTTCTATGGTTTTCTCTATTAGCAAATGTCCGTACACAGACATGAATTCTATTTTGAAATTTGGAAGGCCGTATGTGAGGAAGCATACTTTACTTTTTAATGAGACAAATCTAAAAAATAAATGCAACCCAAAGAGTGTGTGGTTGGGTAAGAAGATTGAAAGGAAACTAAAACACCGTACCTTCTTTTCACCCCAGATCTTATTAACCGTGTGTTTTCCTCTCCGAGAACTTGCATCGTCAATGACATCGTCGTGTACCAGACTAGCAGTGTGGATCATTTCTGCAATTAAGGCTATGGAGCGCTGGTCTGCTTGCACGTCTCTAATTAACAGAAAGCAATGCTTTTTAACAGAGCCGCTGCCTATAACCTTCTCAGCAATCATCTTGTGAAAACTGGACATCCGATCTAGGATAAAGAGCTTTATTTCTCTAAGAGAAACTGTATAAACACTTTGGCTTCCCTACAAAGCCATTTCTACCATTTGGAGAACATTTTAAAAATGTGTGAGCTACCCTGCCGAGGCTATACTTTATAGACAGCACATTCAGAAGCAGAATTTGTATGATTAACAACAAAAAAGTTTAAACATCTCAGAAGTCTGGCCATGAGGCTGAAGAATCAGCTGTAGGCCCTAGAATCGTGGTCTTGGGTGTCTGGGGAAGCTTGTCAATTGTGATTAGGTTATAAGGAGATTTGGGGGCTTGGGGGGGAGGGGAGACAGGTTAAGAAGCACTCTGAAAAAGTATTCTAAAGAACCAACGATCAGTATGTTTAAAGCTTTTAATATTGTCTTAAATGAAATGTTTAGGAAGAAGACCTCAAGCACCCAGATAGAATTTTTGTCGAAACGGTCTTCCAATTCATACTTCACCCTGGCATTAGAAATGGAAACTTTTCTTTCCCAGCTTTAACACAATATACAGGATAAGCATTGTCAAGAAGATACATGGCTATGAGTTTTAGAGTTCAAAGGGAATGTGCCCCTTTTTAATCATCATCATTATCACAATCATCATCTATGGGAATTTTTAAAAGCTGAATTTTGAGAAAATCAAATTCGGGAAATAACCAACTGAATTATCTGAAACCGAAAACATATGCCTGACTTAAATGCATGGTAACGAAATGTTTCACTTATTCAATAGCTTCTTACTTTTCAAAATGTCATCACGTTATCTCTTCAGGGGGGAAAAGAGAGAAGGATGTTGAAACAGAACTTTTTCTTTAAAAAAAATAATCTAGGCTGAACATCTGCAAAAGATAGTGCCTATTCTAGAGCCTCACTCACATTTAGCAGAAAGCTATGGAAAATGAGGCCCAAGTACATTAAAGATGCGGGTATTTAACTACAGACACTAAGTCAGCCTGAAGAGTACCTTCTGATCTTGCTTTAAATATAATTTTAAAATAGGGTGCTTTGCCGGCAACTCTCAGCTAAGATTGCAGAATTAAACCTCAGACCCTTCCAACTGCTTTTAGCCCAGAAATCAATTGCCAAGTGCAGCGCATTATTTATTAACCTGCCACAATCGTAACAGTTCTAAATACTTCCGGATCACACCACGGTCTTTCAAGGTGGGAGAAGTAAAGCAACACGGGGTGGAGACCGGTTCTAACAACAGGACCGTAAATGAGAAAACAAAGGTTCCAATGGCTTCAAAGAACTTGTTGTGAAACCCTTGATGAGACACTGCTCACAGGCGCTACGGTAGGAGGCTTGGACCTTAAATATCTTTTAGGTGAATGTACCGGACCCTACCTTGAGTTCAAATGTACAGGAAAAGAGGTAGACATTCACAGGTGTTTTGTATAAAGGCCATCTTTCAGATATTTTCACCATGGCATTTTGGTCTAATACACATTTCCTACTAGCTGGTAGAACTTACCTTGAAAAACAACTGTGAGGGCCTCTAGCCTTCCTTATGCTTTCCTAAGCTGGGCACCACCTCCATTATCATCAACTCTGTCGGCAGACAGAGGTGTTCCTGCTGGGGAGTTGTGATGAAATGGCAGTGCTCACTGACACACTGGAGTTTTAGAATTTCAAGATATTAAAGACAAAGGTGTCTTAAAATATTTTGAAATGTCAACGACTACATGTATACAGAAAGGCCATTTTACGTGGCTCAATTACTGACTGTAATCAGGATTCTTTGTTAGAACGTTGTCTGGTATTGTGACACAGCCCATATGCAGAACAGACATTATTTCAGATGTTTTTAAAAAAATGTTTATTTATTTTTGAGACTGTGAGCAAGCAGGGGAGGGGCAGAGAGAGGGAGACAGAGAATCCCAAGCAGGCTCTGCACTCTGAGTGCAGAGCCTGAAGCTTGAAATCAAGAGTCAGACACATAAACAACAGCCACCCTCAGGTACCCCTGAGATGTTTTCTAATTGTATTTGATGTCCTTTTTCCTACACAACTAAGTTTTAATGTGTGCCAGCTTATATCCAGAAAATACTGCCACTGTCTGTCCATAGCACAGCATAGTGGCTGGAACCAAAATTTACAGATTACAGAAAACTCTCACACTATCTGTAAGATGAAAGCTCCAAAGTGCCAAACTGAGTCATGCCTTCAGAAAGCTGGGCACCATTTCCACTTCTTACCATGACAGCTGACACATTCTCCTGGCTTCTGGGAGAGGTGCTGAGAAAAGCCAGACTGGCAAGACAGCCTGAGAAAAGGAGCCCCTTGGTCTGAAAGTTGGCTGTGTCCCCCATACTTCACACATGGCGGAGTATGCGATGATTCAGCAAGCCCGTTGGGATATTTGTTTTTTTCCCCTTCATTAGATTTAAAGCAACATTTTTTATAATGGAATAGTTCAAGTGCAGACAAAAATAGATGGAGTCATAAAATGACACGCCCCACCCCCATGTACGCTTGACTCAGTTTACATGTGATTTAAATAAAATGGTTTTTTCCTATTCACACTAATACATAAAGTGAAATCTTAAATTATAAGTAAACCCTCAGTGTGGGAAAATTGTCTCTAAACAGAAATTCAAACCTTGTCAATTGATTACTTTGGTTCAGAATGAATGAGGGTAGCAAATTTAAATAGTAAATGTGATTCCACTTTAAAAGCAGATACACAGAAGTTTCTACTCCCAACTCTACAGAAGCTGTATAAAAACCAGAACTCTCAAGTGGTATTTTATACAGAAGGCTCTATTTCTATTATAAAATGTTCTTTTTGTCTAACAATTCTAAAAGTAAGTGTTTCCCTTTGCTTGTTAGAACTCTGACAAGCTTAGTGTTTCTTAAATATATAACCCTTGTCCACCATGTCAGAATCCATACTCTTGAAAATGCAGACTGAGGAGTCAAAATCTGACAATGGGGCTCAGGAATCTGTATTTGGAAAAAGCATGTCAGGAGATTCTGATGCGCAAAGTTTGAAAAATGCTGTTCTATCAGGTATTCATTTGATTTACCACAAGCCACAAATGGAAGCTTTCCTAGAGAAAGGGTTTTGTTTTTGGTAAAAACTCTGCCTTTGCTGGCCCACTGCTGCATTGCCTCTGAAACAAGAGGCCACTCTCTCCTAAACATGACCTGGAACTTGGCAGGGGGGCAGGGGGACAGGGAGCAGCTAATGACTCCTCAAGTCCCTTCAGAGAGCAGAATGGCTCACCGGCTCACATGCAAAATCACGGAGGATGACCTCTCTTCCCTCTTATACTCTGCATCATTATGAATTTGAAAGGACATGACTGGATGCTTTTTTAGTTTGGTCTGAAAAAACTCACTACTTAAAATGCAAGCAGAGTCCTTTGCTATCAAATTCTTCAGGAGGCAAACTGCATTTCCTAGTTACCTGATGAAAACACACATATTCAAGTTTTCAGCATGCTGAACAATATATCCATATAGACTCAGGTAAGATTTTCTCTTTCTCTGTCACTGAACTGACTTGCTATAAGCTGGAGTCCTTTGCCTATGAAGACTGTGGGATGTGTCCTGCTTTACCTCTGGTCTGCTCATGTCAGAACTGGTGGACGCAGAAGAGGCACCTCCAGAAGGAGAGGGAAGCCCGTCTGGGCCCCTCCCTGAGCTGATGTGACATGATGTAATGATGGGGCCTGTGTTAGTTTCCTGTGGCTGCTGTGACACATTACCACAAACTTGGGTGTGGTTTTTTTTTGTTTTTTTTTTTAAGTTTATTTAAAAAAAAAATTTTTTTTTTTAACGTTTATTTATTTTTTTGGGACAGAGAGAGACAGAGCATGAACGGGGGAGGAGCAGAGAGAGAGGGAGACACAGAATCAGAAACAGGCTCCAGGCTCTGAGCCATCAGCCCAGAGCCCGACGCAGGGCTCGAACTCAAGGATCGCGAGATCGTGACCTGACTGAAGTCGGACGCTCAACCGACTGCGCCACCCAGGCGCCCCAAGTTTATTTATTTTAAGAGAGAGAGTGCGCACGGGAGGGGCAGAGAGCGAGAGAGAGAATCTCAAGCAGGCTCTGCACTGCCAGCACAGAGCCAGATGCGGGGCTGGAACTCACGAACTGTGAAATCATGACCTGAGCCGAAACCAAGAGGAGGACACTTAACCGAGTCAGCTAGGCACCCCCAAACTTGGTGGTTTAAATCAACAGAAACTCTCTCATAGTACTGGAGGCCAGAACACAGTTCCATGGAGCACCCCTCCACCCCTTCCAGCCATGGGCAGCTGTCTGCAGACTTTGGCTTATGGCCCTGGGACTTCAATCTTCAAAATCTCTCTGCTCTACCTTCACACAGCCCTCTCTTCTGTGTGCATCAACCTCCCTCTGCTTTCCTCTTATAGGGAGACATGTGACTGCATGTAAGACTCATCAGATAATCCTGGATAATGTCCCCATTTCAAGATTCTTAACTAAATCCCTTCTGCAAAGACCCTTTCTTGCTACATGACGTAACACAGGCTCCAAGGATGAGGATATGTATACCTTCGGTGCGGCCATTTTTCAGCCTAACAGTTTATTTTTTATTAAAAAAAAATTTTAATGTTTATTTTATTTTTGAGGGACAGAGAGACGGAGCACGAGCAGGAGAGGGGCATAGAGAGAGGGAGACACAGAATCTGAAACAGGCTCCAGGCTCTGAGCTGTCAGCACAGAGCCTGTGACGGGGCTTGAACCCACAAATCGTGAAATCATGACCTGAGCAGAAGTCAGAAGCTTAACTAACTAGGCCACCCAGGCACCCCCAGCCTAATGGTTTCTTACTTTCACTAGCCTCTTTTGCTGGTGCTCAAACATTTCCTTGTCAGGGATCAAATTCTTCAAATTACCTTTCACTGCACCTGTCTAAAATCTGCTTTTGTCCTC